AGTGGAATGTTAAATAGGAAAAGAGTGGAGGACGGAAAATTATACCTCATGCTCTCACTGAAAAAGATATTCTCAAGCGAAGGGCATCCGAGTTTGCCTAAGAAGAGGCCCAGCGTAGGCTGGAGAGGCGTTAAGGGAATTTTAAAGAGGCTTTAAGAGAAGTGAAGGATAGCTTCAGAGGATGGAGTGAGATAAGTGAGGGTATTGAGGGAGGGGGGAAAGAAGTAATAGGCTTATGGGAGATGAGGTTTGTAGGGAGGATTAGGGTGATGTGATAGTGAGAGGAGTGCACAATGGGTGTGAGGGAATATAACAGTAAGTGTAGAGGGAAAGTGGAAGTGTGTAGGCTGAGGGAAGAGAAGGCTAAGAAGATAAGTGTAGAGGTAAGAACAGACATACACTCCACCGATCCGGACTAGAGTGTGAGTTTCATGGTAAAAGTTAGACGATGGTGGTTTATGTATTCCGGAGTTCCCAGTGAGACAGTTACTGACATCTGAGTCACTAGGACTCTTTCTCTGCAACCTTGCTCCTGCTTCCCGAGTCATCTGATCCTCACTCCTCCCTCGTCTTCTTACTTGTCTTCCCCTCAACCCACAAGTCTTCTTCAGTTTTCCCTCGACCCCAAGACTCCTTGAACTCTTCTCATTTTCCTCCTATACACCTCCAATCTTAAGGCTTTCTCCCTTCTTCTCCAGTCTTACTCCTTCTCACATCTTTGGTTACAAGACCGTCCGAAGTTTCTCCGGCCACCACTGAATCTTTGACGTCCCTCAAATCTCTTTTCCACCAACTCATTCTCCCAGTCTTCCTCTGCCAGAATCTTTACCCTTCAAATTTGCAGACTCCTTTTTAACACTTCAGATTCCTTTGTTTCCTTCCTTCGTTGATTCCTTCTTTTCCTTTCCTTCTACCAAACCAACATTTCATGAGATAATCAGTAGTAGCCATGAGGAGGATTCGAACCTTTGCTCTGTGTACTCCCAAGCAAACGCCGTAAACCGCTTCAACACCACATAGTCATAAACAATTAAACTTGGTATTCAATTGAATCCTCAAAGGTTCCTGAGGATTCCAAATGAAGCCTAATCTACTAAAGCCTAACCTACCTTCTCTGATTTTCTTATTGATACATCACGTTAATGAGACTTCTTGGTGCCTAATCTCCAGCCTTCCCGTCTCATCCTTTTAGAGAACCTCAACGTGTCCTTACCCCCGTCTTTAATATCTTTATTAGCCCCCTGTTCATAGCCCTCCCGTCTCCTAACATTTATTGCCTCCATCATCTAGCCTCTCTACTAATGCCCCCTCCAAACTATCTTCTTCTGCCACCCGCTCTTAACTATCCTTTTCTGTTTTCCTTACTAACTTCTTCTCTTATAGCCCCCCTCTCATAACTCCCTGATCCGAGCCCCATCCTCCCCACTACGTCAACACTTCACGCAGCAGTGGTAGTGAGGGGTCAGCAGCCTGCATTAGTGATTCCAAGAGCCGGCACTCGTGAACAACATTACTGGACGTTTGAGGAGAGTGGCTGCTCACTGATTCTATCGTATTTCCATCGAACTGGGTGTTCATGCTCTCTGCATTATTAGAAAACTGAATTGTTGATAGCAATATTGTTGATTGTGTGTGTGTGTGCATAGTTTAGATATGTGTAGGTGTAATTTCATGAGTGTATTTGTGTGTTTGAATGTATATGTGTGGATTTTTGTGGATTTTCTTGGTGGGGAATAGAAGACTGCCTACAATGATTCGTCGCTGGAAAATTATAACTTTCTCTACATATACTGTTTATGCGTTGTTCTGTATCACCAGTAGGAATGCTATGTAATTTTGTAAACTTTATTTTTTTTTTATACATTCTACAATCTTCTGACAGATTTTCTTGAAGAATCTTCAGACGCTTCATGTTATTGGTTCGAATTAAATACGCTTAAATTTAAGAACAATTTTATGGCTGCTGTTATAATATTGTCATAGAGGAACTAATTATATAAACTAATTATACTATGTATCATCATAGAAGTAAGGTTCCTTTCGCTATTTGGTAATGCAGTTTAAATGCAACTGTTATTTGTATGTGATCAAAATTTTTCGCTCTAAGAGATATCATACTTGAATTTAGCGTTCGTAAGCTACAGGAGTTATATCGCAAATGATGCTTGGGAGGAGATGGAGGTAGAATGGCGGGAGTTGTAATGGTGGTAGTGGAGAGGGAGATCTGACACTATCTTTACCATCTCCGCCCCCTACCTCCACCACTACCATCGTCATCACTACCTCACCCACAATACCATCATTCCTCCATAACCCCCCCCCCCCCTGACGCCTACTACTAACTGCATCCATCTCTCATACTACACTCATATGCCCCTTCCAATTCAAGCCCCAACATCTATAGCCAAACGACCTACCCACACTCTACCGACCAAGTGCACTACCCCCACGCTTATGCCTTCACCCACACCAACCCCACCCACACCGCTTGTTCAGATACATAAGCCTTTGTAAGGACACGTAAGGCAGAATGATAAGGGGGGAAATAGAGGGACGGAAGGGCAGGTGAAGGAATGAGGTAACCGATTTGCTGTTTTTTTTTCTCACGACGTAAGACATACGACTCAACCAAAATGCTTAATTCCAGCGAGTCAACGCGACAGGCTCTCCAGTTTGCCCTGGGAATAATCGTGTCTCGGGCTGGATTTATAACCTGTCGTCTGGACCGGCAGAATGAATCCACGAGTCTCGCGCTGTCGTGCGCCAGCTCGGGTCCGGTATTGAACCCGCGTCCCTGCTGCAACATTGCTCTCGTAATCTCCATCGTTGCAATCAACAAAACAAAAATTGCCCCATAAACTTCAGCAACAGGACGAAGGGAAGGGGAGGGGGGGAAGGAAAGGACGGGAAGGGAATGGGAGGGGAAAGAATAGGGGACCCCGTTCCTTTCCTCGCCCTAAATCTTGCACGATTAGCTTGATCGATGGATTATTTTTGTGGCATTTGTCGAGGGTCGTAAATATCTGAAAATTCGTGAGGAAAAAATGCTCACCCGGTCGAGTTCGGGAGGCGCTGGAAATTGTATCAACAGTTGTTGAGTGGGAAGCCCAACTCTACAACTGTTGTTGTTGAGTTGGGCTCAGTTGAAGTCATACTTCATACTGAAGTCATACTGAACTGTTGATATAATTTCCAGCGCCTCTTGAACTCGACCGGGTGACTTGAGAATGGTCCAGGACGGACCGAAACGTCGTCGTCCTTCACCTACTAGTGTGTGGTCTGGTCAACTTACTTCAGCCACGTTATTGTGACTCATCGTCTGCATTGGAAGCCCAAGTTTCCTGGTGTGCCGTCTTCCAGTGAACCTTCTTCAGGCCAACAATCTTCCAGTCTCCTTCTTCCGATTTCTGTCTTCTAGTTCCTGTTTTTCAATCTTCTTGTCTTCTAGTATCTGTCTTTTCAAAAGCACATTCTTCAAGTCCCTTTCTTCCAATCCTCATGATATAATCCCCTCCCCCCGTCTTCCAGTCCACACCACCCACTATATACCCTCCAGTCCACACCATTCACTTCAAATTCTCTTTTGGAACTTTTTTTCGATTTTAATTGTTCTTGTTTTGGCCAAATTTTCGTTTGACTTTCTCCTTCCCTCTCTGATTTCATCCAATTATTTCTTTCTCTCACTTTCTTTCACTGTTTCTGTCTTTTCATTGCTTTTGCAATATCCTTATTACCGTATTGTCTCATGCTTCATCTCCAATTTCTGCTTAATTATTTTTATATTTTGTCTCTTCTCCAACATTTTTTGATAGTAAAACGTCGTGACAAAAATAACTTTCCCGAAGACTAAGATGTTTGAGAAAAATTGACTTATCATGACTAGATATTCGTGTTTCTGATTGGCTTGACGACGTGGAGAAGGTGGAGCTTAAACTGTGACGTCAATCAGTTTTGAATTATGCATCTGGGCTGATGTGTGTGTGTGTGTGTGTGTGTGTGTGTGTGTGTGTGTGTGTGTGTGTGTGTGTGTGTGTGTGTGTGTGTGTGTGTGTGTGTGTGTGTGTGTGTGTGTGTGTGTGTGTGTGTGTGTGTGTGTGTACTTAACGTAAAAATGCCATCGTCTTTTCGCATGCGTGCATGCGTCTGCGTGTGCGCGTATATACATATACATATCGTATATCGTACCGAGCTAAATTTCATATACCCTAATGTCTAATAATTTAGTATTCACAACGAATAAGATAGCATTATACTTATTTTTTCAGTTTGTTTTATTTACTATTGACTCCTAAAATTTGACGCAAATAAAAAAAAGCAAATACGCAATGATCGCGAATGGGGCAAATAGAACCTTATCAGAAAATTGGGAAGCGCTTAGAGTAGGCTTATCATGACATAAGATTGATAGATGAAGGAAGCAGCCAGCCTGGAAGGTAGATTCTGTGTAGGGAAGGAAGGAAGGAAGAACGAAGGAAGGGAAGGATGAAGGAAGCAGGGTGTGTTGGAAGGAGGAGCAAGGGATTGAGGACTTGTACGCCAATCCAGTAGGCTTATTTGACAACCGTCTAGCTCTTTTCCCTCCCTCCTACGCCACCTCTTCCGATCATCCATTCTCCCGTCTCTTTCCTTTCCCATCCTCCGTCCGCTCCTTCACTCTCTCCTCCTGAAAAAAGTAGTTGACCTTATATTACACTTTGTCCCCACGCCATCCAAAACTGTAACCAAAAAAAATTAAAATAAGACAGAAACATCCTTGAGATAGAGAGAGAGATAGAAAGACAGGGAAAAGATATCTGTGGTCTATTGTGGAGATGGTGTGTGGCCCCATCTGAGGAGAGACTCTTGTGGAAGCCCTGCCCGTTACTGCCTATTGTTTTAGAATGATGTGTTCTTTGTCTCTTCCTCTTCTTCGTCAGAGCGGAGGCAGTTAGTAGACCGGGGATGATATAGAGGAGAAGGGGGAGGATAGGGAGGAGGACGACGAGGGCCAGGGAGAGGAGATGGAGGAGTGGCAGGAAGAACATAGGTGGAAGAATGGCAAGGAGAATATAGATGGAGGAGTGGCAGGGAGAAGTTAGATAGAACAATTTCATCCTAGTTGAAATTGTTGGATATGCGATAGTTAACAAGAAGATAGGAAGAAAGGCAAAGTGTAGGAACCAGCAAAGAGGGAGAAGGAGGATAGGTTTCCAGAAGAGGGCTCACAGATGAAAGAGGAATTGGGGGAAACGGTCAAGATACGCTGATAGAAGTGGAGATGGAGATAAGAAGAACGGAAAAAAACGAAAAATTAGTCTTGTGTTTAATAGTTCCTAAACCCCAATCCCTCCCCCCCCCCAGTCCTCTCTTCCCCGAACCAATTCATATTGATATGTAAGGGTACTTTCTGCTGTTAGAGTTAGCTATTACTCTTATTGGCTTAGTCGTTATGAGTGTAATCTGCAGCTTTGGTACCTAAACTAAGTTAATTTTACTGTTGATAATTAAAACTGTTAACACAGTAGACGGAGAAGTTTTATCGAATGGCCTGATTATAATAAGCAGAAATGTTCGAAACGAACACACAGAAACACACACACACACACACACACACACACACACACACACACACACACACACACACACACACACACCACACACACACACACACACACACACACACACACACACACACACACACACACACACACAACACACACACACACACACACACACACACACACACACACACACACACACACACACACACACACACACACACACACACACACACACACACACACACACACACACTTGACTCCTCAGCAACAGTACATTAACGCTGCACGCGGCTAAGGTAACTTCTAATTACTTTTTAATTTCGCGCTAGATATTCTTTGCGACGCAGATGATGGTAATGATGATGGTAATGAGTGATGATAAGACTGATAATGGTAATGGTGATGATGGTTTCTTTTCCCAGGCAGACTCATGTCCTAACGTGATGGGACCTCTTTAATTTTACATCTCAATCCTCACACTCCTCACCTTTCCCCATTCCTTCCAATCATCCACCCCATCCCTTTTCTATCTCCTTTCCTACATTATCGTAATACTCCTGCTCCACATTCTCCGGTCATCGCCCTCATTTTCTTCCTCATAGTTTCTTGTTGATCTAAACCCACACGCAGTCCTTTTTCAATCACAATGTTCTTTATATGAATTTGACTTAAATGTTCTGTTCTCTTCAACTCTTCAGTTTTTTTAATCTCCCGTTGTTCCCGTTTTACCTTCAATTTCCTCTACCTCAGATACTTTTCTTCACCTTCACCTCTGCTTTGCTCCTCAATCTTCTCCATATTCTTTCTTGCCTTATTTAAACTTCTTGCCTTCCTCTTTCATTGCCTTCGTGTTCCCTCTCCGTCGCGTCCACACCCTCCGGTTTGTCCTCATAAAAATATATATTTTGAATTGCAAAGTTTAACTCGAAAATGAAATTAACCGTCACGAAATACGTCATTAAGTCATTATCCAGGTCATGCGTGGAAAAACGAGAAAAGAAAGAGAGTAAGTACAAGACGAAGTTTTCAATCCTATCATTATAAGATCCTAACACTCCAGCCAAGTTCAGAACCTCTATAATTAGGTTGCTCTTTGTATAACAGCGATTCATGGTCTTTCATTGAGAAACTGTTAGTACAGTGTTACACCCCAGTTGAGACCTTACTACACTGCATTATTTTTGTTCTTTATTGGTTTTAAATAATAAATTATGCATAATATAATAAGATCTATTATTTTTTTATTAAATCTGAGTTGAAATGTGATTTTTGTTTTAGTTGATATTCTTTAGCACTGAAAAAGTACATGAACATTAAAAAAAAATGGCAAAGCAGATCACCACTATTGTGTTGGTACAACCATTTCACTAACAACAACTACTACTACTACTTTTAATACATTCACCTGCATCACCGCCTCTACCACAACTTTTACTGGTTCTGTAACTACTATTACTTCTGCTACTACTTCTACCATCACTAATACAAATTAAAATAAATAACAATAATAATGAAGATAATAATGATAATTAGTATTAATTCTATAATAATATTGTAATTGCAATTATATTGTAAAAAATAATAAGGGTGCAAAAATATAATATAATAATAGGAATGGAACTTTTAATAATAATCAAAATGAAAAATACAAAAATTTTTACGGCTTATTTTACTATTAATAAAGAGTGCCAGTTTCTCAAGCGTGTAATTGTAAGTCAGACACTGCGGCCAGCGGCTCACAATAACAGGCAGCTGAATCTAACTTTATGCTATAATTCCGTAGACTTCTGGTGCACATAGCCTTTGCTCTTGATCCAAGTTTACCAGTGTAAACCAGGTTTACCCATCACATGGCCCTCAATGACACATTCTGCGAGATGGGTATTTTTTATATTTTTGGTAGTAATACAGCTGGCTCTTGGTACATAAATTTAACTCTTCATATAGTCTAAGGTAGCTTCTGAAATGCAAATGTTCCTGTGTTACTTAACATAATAATAATAATCACAGAGATTAATCACACTATCGCGATGAATCAGTGAGAAAAAGGTTCCTGGGAACCCCAAGCGCATAGATTCGAACCCTCATCACTGGGTTCCTTTACACCTGTCTGCTTCTGACCTACCTATAGGTCATAAGTCTCGTATCTGGGCTACCTGTTGGGGGAGGGGTACCGTGGAGAGCAGGTGGGGTGGGAGGGGTTTGGAATATGATGTGAGAGGGGTGTGGGAAAGATGGACAAATGTGGATGGGATGTTTATGTAAAAAAGAACAGGGGTAAAAGAAGTTTGTGAATATGAGTAAGATGATTGATGAGGTGAGAAAGCGTGTCATGAGGAAGGGCGTGAGGAGATGAGTTCATGAGTGCGTTTGTGTGTTTGTGTAAGTCTGCGGGACGATGCTTCAATCAAAGGTAAGTTTTTTATTTTGTTTAGAATTGTATCTTACTTAATTGTGTTATTTATTGCAATATATCCTCCAAACATTTATAGCACCTATAGTAACTAAAGACTTTTGTACCCCCAAAAATCCACGCTTTGTTCTATTGATCTTGTCGAGAACACAAGCTGACACTCAACGCTTCTTGTGTACTAATTTGAAATGTCTTTATTATATATTTATATATTTACCAACGTATTTGTGTCTGTATGTCTCTCTATTATAATATATTGTTTACAAACCAATCCCACACGCAACACGTTATGCTGACCTGGTTTCTTTTCCTCCCTCCTCAGGGGCAAATGGTCTGCGGCGTCGTGGGAGACAGACCTACACCAGGTACCAGACTCTCGAGCTGGAGAAGGAGTTCCACACAAACCACTACCTTACTCGGCGAAGAAGAATAGAAATGGCGCACGCCCTCTGCCTCACCGAGCGACAGATCAAGATATGGTTCCAGAACCGAAGGATGAAGCTGAAGAAGGAGATCCAGGCGATTAAGGAACTTAACGAGCAGGAGAAACAAGCTCAGGCGTCGAAACTAGCACAACAGAATGCCGCGAACAATGCCCAGTCCATGACCGCGAACCAGGGGGCGGGAGGGGGGCCCGGTGGGGAACAGAACCCCCCCGGGAACCCCACGCAAAACTAACGACACAACTTCATCTATAAGCTAGGTTTAAGGTGAGTACAACCTTTCCTTCTCTCGTTCAATTGAATAACTATGTAAACAAAAGCAATTCCTATGTTCGGGATACTTTTAATATCTTGGTTTGGTCTGTTGTCTGTGCCGTCAAATCTGTCTGAAGGGTTAGGTATCGGTAGTGTCATTTGTCTTCATGGATGGATTGGTGATCCCACATGTTGGGGATCGTGGATGAGAAGAACCAGACTTGGTGTGAGATCGTAATAGGCGAGTTGGATGTTCTTTAAGAATATGTTTGCAATCGGCCGGAATAAGGTAAGAATTTAGTAATCATCTGTTGGAAGGGTAACTGAAAAATTCACTGTAATGTTCACAACTTTGCATAATAGCTGGAACATTGTTTAACATCTCGACTTTTGCAATGATTTTTAATGGGTGGAATGATTCGCGGCTTCTTGGCATTGGAAGCAGCTTTCTCTGTCTGTTGGGTGTGGCACTGTTGGTTAGGTGGGTGGGGCACTGTTAGTTGGGTGGGTGGGGCACTGTTATTTGGGTGGGGCACTGTTATTTTGGTGGGTGGGGCACTGTTAGTTGGGTGGGTGGGGCACTGTTATTTGGGTGGGGCACTGTTAGTTGAGTGGGGCACTGTTAGTTGGGAGGGGCACTGTTAGCTGACTGGGGCACTGTTAGTTGAGTGGGGCACTGTTAGTTGGGTGGGATACTGTTAGTTGAGTGGGGGGGCACTGTTACCCTTCCTTTTATCTTTTGACTGAGGGACGGACCAAACTACAATATCTACAATTTTATATGCCTGAGGTGGGACATATTTTGTTATATCAACTGTTATTGATATTTATATTGCGACAGAATCTGCATGCCAATGGGGAAAAAATAATGACCAAAAGGCATTCATTGGTAATTATGATGCATTTCTTATTGAGTGGAAAACTATGACGCTACCTACATTTATAATGAAATCGAAACTCTAAATTTTTATCGCTAATTAAAATGAGAACCTTACTTTCTCTTAAATTTGGTTGTTAAATGGAGCCCAGTTTGAATCGTTTCCATTTTTTATTCTCTCTATCACATTACAGTACGAATTAAAGGTGATTAACGACCTTGTGAAGTCTGAATTCAGTTGTGAAAGACATTAACTCACGATGGGAGATGATTCTCTACTCTCTGTGGGGCATGTCACATTGTTGTCATGTAGTGGATGTTCGTTAAGGAGGGAGGGGTGCAGCTAGACTGAGGGAGGGGGTGTAGCTAGACTGTGGGAGAGGGGTGCAGCTAGACTGTGGGAGGGGGTGCAGCTAGACTGAGGGAGGGGGTGCAGCTAGACTGTGGGAGGGGGTGTAGCTAGACTGTGGGAGAGGGGTGCAGCTAGACTGTGGGAGGGGGTGCTGCTAGACTGAGGGAGGGGGTGTAGCTAGACTGTGGGAGGGGGTGTAGCTAGACTGTGGAGAGGGGTGCAGCTAGACTGTGGGAGGGGGGCTGCTAGACTGAGAGAGGGGGTGCAGCTAGACTGTGGGAGGGGGATGCAGCGAGACTGAGGGAGGGGGTGTAGCTAGACTGAGAGAGGAGGGTGCAGCCAGACTGAGGTAGTGAGCCAGCTGGGCTCGAGCAGGCACCAACTGGAATGAGAAAGAGACCATCAAGACTGAGAGACAGAGAGAGGAGTGACTTGACTGAGGGGAGGAACCAAGTTAACTAAGGAAGGGGGAGGCTGAGGGAGGGCTGGTAGACCGTGGGATGTTTATCAGGCATGTAGGTCGTCATATATATATATATATATATATATATATATATATATATATATAT